GGACTTGAGAGAGGGCCCAACAAGATCAGTAGGAGCCAGGTCAGGCAGGGCCTTGCTGGTCAGGAGATGGATTTGGGGCTTTGTCTTGGAGCAGCAGGAAGCTGTTGAAGGGCTGCGATGGGGCACTACAGGATTTCACTTCCATTTTACGAAGCTCACTCTGGTTGTCCTGTGAACAGGGACTGGAGGGGGCCGGCGGGGATGTGGGGAACTGTGCGGGGTCAACTAGGTGAGATGGTTAAGATTTTCCAAGGGTACAGTGGGCTGAGAGAATGGGTGGGGGCAAGGGTGCATCATCGATTTCTGTCACGAGCTGAGGGTGGGTAGTGGTGCTGTTTATGACTTAGGCACTAGCGGAGGAGGACCAGATTTAAAATAAAAACAAAACAAAACAAAAAACAACTTTTTATGTTGTGGGTAAATACATATAACATAAAATTTATTAAGTGTAATAAATTTTAAGTGTACAGTTCTGTGACATTAAGTACTCACACTTTTTCTGCAATGTACTTTAATTTAATTTTAGGGGGAGGTGAGGCTGATAAATTCAGTTTTGGACAAGTAGAGTTTGGGGTGCATGTGAGATGTTCAGGCACAGGTGAGCTGTTAGACATTTGGGTCTGGAGCTCGGGGGGGGGGGGGGTCTGGCTTGGGGGGTATTTGGGGGTCATTATACCAGGTGGCAATTTGAGTGGGTTTTGGGGTGTGTGTGTGTGTGTGTGTGTGTGTGTGTGTGTTTTAAGGAAGAGAGCCTTGACTGATTGATTGAATAAATTCACTTAAGCTTTTGTGTGTACCAAAGATTTGACAGAAATTGGGGAAGAAAGCAGTCTTATCTGCATGATATAAAGCTGTGGGCTTATAAAAAAAGGTATAATAAGTATCATCAAATAAGATTTGAATGTATCTCAAGTATAGCAGTGCCATTTTCTCCTTGGGAAATGACTTATTTTCACTCCTGAAAGAATATTTTATGAAACTGAAAAGGTGATATATTTTAGTTTACATCATTGCTTCCCATAAGAAGCTCAAGGCTCTTTATACATCGTGTTGAATTTATCTTCTCCGGATCCTTGAGGGTGGATATTGAGGAGCTTGTTCTTTGTTTATGAGACAAATGAAGTAAAGGAAGTTAAATGGCCAAGGCCTGTCATGAAAATAACCCAGTGTAGTTCACTTGAGTTTCTGCCTAGCTGTCCATCCCAGTGCATGTCAGCCTTTAGCACACACGAGAATCATCTCAGTGTCTTGAAGCTCCAGTTTGTTAAGGCCCTGTTTGTTAACATGCAGATTCCTGGGTCCCAGCTCCAGATTTTCTGATTCAGAAGAAATGAGAATGAGGCCTGTGGATCTGCATTTTTAACAAGGCCCCCAGGTGAGTTGCATGTGCAGCCAAGTGTGGGAACCCTGCCTGAGCCATGCTGGGTCCAGGTATAAACTGGGACTATTTAGGGGTGATTTTCACGAACATCTGTAGAATGCAATGATAATTAATGGTGAGTTTGCCTTTAAAATGAAATGAGTTATTTTGGAGAGAGCAAAGTATGGAATTAAGGCCTAGTACTCATCAGTCAGGTGTTTTGTTTACTTAGGAAAGGAACCAGAAACCCAGAACTCAAACTAAGAAGCCTTTCTCTGGTTCCAGCATCATTTGGCAAATTTTCTTTTTTCTTTTTTTAAAAAGATTACCGGTAAGGGGATCTTAACCCTTGACTTGGTGTCGATAACTTCGTGGAACCATAGTCTGTGAAGTATGAGTTTGAAAAATTTGAGCAGTGGGTTGTTAGAGCAAACGTTTTTGGACAATACACAAGTTGCTGAAGGCTTAGAACATCTCAGATTGTGAGTATGATGGATTGAGTGGTACTGACAGGGGTACTTTTAAAATCCACTGTTTGTAATAGATAAGATGCCCCCAAATAAGCATAAATTGTACTTTCATAAATTAAGCCCGACAGTTAACTGTTGGGTAGTGTGCTTGCAACTTAAAGGAATTGTTCAAAGTGCTAATTTCCTTGTGTTGGGATATTTGCTCTGTGTTCCTCTTTGCTGTGCTTTGGAGTAGGTTGTGTGACCAAGGGTTTTTTTCTGGCCCTTCCTATGACTCAGATTATAGAGCATGCTTATGAAGGTGGGGTTTTAAGTCTCTGCCCCAAAACACTGAATAGAAATTTTCTAGTTTTCATATCCTGAGTCATTTGTTTAAATGAGATATGAATTAAAGAAGCAAATGATCCTTTTCTTCCTAAGTATATATGTATGGTTATTTCCTATTTCTTTTATTTTTTCCTATTTACTATCCTTCCTGTAAATATATTTACCCCCTGGCCCGCAGAATATATTGGTCCTGTCAAATTTTGTTGCCAAGTGAAGAAAAGCCTATGTGTTAGTCCGTTTCTGTTGCTTATAACAAAATACCTGGAACTGGGTAATTTATAAGAAAATGAAATTTAGTGCTTACAGTTTGGGAGGCTGGGAAGTCCAAAATCCAGGGAACACTATCTGGTGAGGGTCTTGGTGGTGGCAACAGTGACCCAGGGATCTCACATGGCGGAAAATGGTGGAGCAGAGAGAGACTAACGTCTCATGTGCTTTTCTTTTAAAGTCCTCAGAACCACGCCCCTGACCACCATTTTGAATCCATTCACTAGGCATGATAGGATTTCCCACCCTCTTAACAGTCACAGTGGGGAGCAAGCTACTAGTACATGAAACCTGGGGGATACAATCCATATCAGCCTGTATTCCAAAGTCCATTTTCCAGTTGACTTCTGTGATACAACAGATGAGTTTGGAGCACTGTCAAGTTGCAGTAGGTAGTGGACTCAAAGGAGCATCATGTCTGCATCCTCATTGCTGTGTAGTGGTGAGGGGCATGGCCTCCTTGCCTCATTACTTCTTTCACCTGAATTGCTTTGTAAATGTTGCAGAGCCATGTGGGCTCCCTGACCCCACATATTGTCCAATTCTCAACTTGCCATGGTAGCAGAATTGTGCTGGCATCTTCCCCAGGAGAGCAGACTCTTTCCCTAAGAGTTTGCTGTTTGGCACGTGAGCAAAAGGCTCTGTAGCTCTTACCATAAGCCAGATACCATTTGGAACCTGAACTACATGGACTTATTCTTGTTTCATTTCCTCCCTCTACAGGGAAGGAAACAGGCTCAGAGAGGTTAAGGCATTGGCTCGAGGTTGCTTAACTATGAAGTGGCGGAGCCTTGATTTGGACTGAGGTGGTCTGAGTCTAGGCTCTGTGTTTTGACCTTGTGCTATACTACAGGCAGGGCTGGGGCCCATGTCTCCTACGCTGTGAAATCTTTCCATTGTGCGTGCAGCTTTAAGGAGCCAGCTCCTTGAAAACACTCCTTCAACAACTGTCTTCTCTCCTGTTTTTCCTCCTTGCACGGCCATTCCTTTTTGTCTCCTTTATAGTTTTGCCCCTGAAATGTTGGGGATCCCCTGCCCCTGCACTGGCCCCTCATACTGTCTCTGGGTGGGCACGTCCAGCCTTGTGGCTTCGGTTCCCTTTTGTGCTGTGGATATACCTGCATTGGTTCCTCGTCCCTTACCCCTCTGTGCCAAGCTCCACACTGGGATACCAGGCTGCTGCTATGGGATATTTCCACTGGAGTGTCCTCAGGATGTCAGGAACCAAACTTGAGCTTTCCCAGACATCTGCTGACCTCCTTTATTCTCTAGCCTGTGCATCGTACTCCAGTCACTCTTATCTGAAGCCTGGAGTCACCTACAGTCGCCTCTCTCACCACCCCTTGGCGTCCTTCTGCCTGCCCTCCCTACTGATGATCTCTCTCAAAGCCTGCAGCTGACCCCTTCGTTATCCCCCCCTACCCGCCACCCCGTCTCCTTGCACACGACCCCGCTGTGCCCAGCACTGCCCCAGTGCAGGTCCTTATTTCTCTTTGCCTGACTCCAATAGCTTCCCTAGCTGGCATGTTTGTGTCCTTTTTTGTCCCCCACAGCCGTTCCATACACTACCTCAAGAAATCTTTCCGTAGCACACATCTCAATATGGCATTTCCCCCCATAAAAACTTTAAAAAGCTTTTCATGGCACTCAGGAAAAACCAGACTCTCTAATACTAATCCCTTTCATGATATGGCCCCTGACACTCTCAGGTTTATGTCTAGCCTCAGTCACACTCCTCTTAGGTGTCCCTGCACCAGTCACTCCCTCCCCTCAGGTGTCCCCACCCTAGTCGCTCCCTCCTCCCTGTCCCTGCCCTGGACACACTGGACTATTCATGCTTTGTGTGCAGAGCCTGTTGCCAGGCCTCCTGGGCTTTGTACTTGAAGTCCGTGCTGCCTGGAATCTGCTTCCCCAAGCAGGGCTTGTGCTCATTCTAACCAGTGCTTCCCTCCCTGGATGGGTCCCCCTCGCTGGCTGTGTCTTCCTCCCTCTGCTCTCTTTCTGGGGAGTTGCCCGCTCTCCCCAGGTTTTCCTTCATGACTCCATCGAGATGACTGCCCTTAGAATGGGCACCTCTCCACCTGACCCACTGGCTTGTCTTTCTCAATAGCCCAGAAGCTCCTTGGGGAGCTGCATATTCATCTTCAGTGTCCCCAGCCCGTGTCATAATTTATGGCACAGAACACACACCAGGTGACTCTTGTTTGTTGAATGAATGAAAATATGAGTGAATGATGATAATGACAGTAGTTGCTGACACCTAAAGCAGAGAGAATGTGCCAGACCTTGTTTTTGGAACGTTGCACTTGCTAAGCCATTTGATCCTCCGGCCTCCGGCCCCAGTGTGGGGTGACAGGGCCCTCTGTCCTTTGAAGTACCACCTTTTGAGGTGGCGCCCCATGGTGGATGGAGCTGCTAGCCAGCGTGTCTGCAACTGCAGGGACAGTGGATTTGTCCGGGGAGGAGGAAGGAAAGGCAGACTGACCCTGTAGCTGGGCCGTGGGTGTGTTTGCTTCTGTTCCCTAAGCTGCCGCAGATTATCTTCAAAGCGGGTAATTGGAAGTAAGTAAACTGGCATGCGCTGTGCATCCTGCAGCTTAAGGCCCCCTCCGGAGGACCTGGAATTAAACTTGGAAAGTTCCGGAGTGGGGGCGCGGGGGGGCGCGGGGAGCCGCTGGAGGCCAGAGCAGCGCTGGGTGAAACATTTTCTAAGTAGGTCGCAGGAAAGAAAGTAAAGCCCCCAAAGCCTTCCTGCCCGTGGTCTGTTAGAAGAAAACGTGGCGGCTGCTCAGCATCCCAGCAAGAGCCTGAGTTGTGTGGGGGCACCGCTGCAAGCTTCCAGGATGTGTCCCTGTGGGCTTTGGCACGGGTGGCAGAGCCAGCGGCACCAGGTTTTACTCCCTCCCTCCTGCCCTTTGTTCAAGGCACAGGACTCCTAGACACTGACCAGAATGACAGTTGTCATCATCAGGGCCATCAGCATTACCATGCTGTTTCCTGAGCTTTTGTGTATGCTAAGCTCTGCTAAATGCTTTATGTGTTATCTCTTTTACTCCCCACAGCGACGCTCTGAGGTGGGGTCATTTGGCTCCTTAGTGGGTTTTTTGTTTTTTGTGTTTCATTTGGTTTCTATGATAGATGTTCCTGGGAGAGTTTGGGAAGGCAAATCAGAATAGGAGCAAAGTCGAGTTAGGAGTTAGGCACAATTATCTTACCTGCATGGGAATGGGGGTCCATTGCCCCCTCACAGGAACAAGAAAAGATAGCTGATTAGTGTTGCTTAAATGTACTGCAGTTAATTCCTCTCCAGTTTTCTTGCACTCTAGGGCTTTAGGCTAGCCTATAAATCTTAGTCCCAGGTTAGTTATAAAATCTTGATTTACCTCTCTGTATAGGTATGCTAACACATTCGTTGGCTTAAATTATTAAAGTTATCATGAAAAAGGTTTGATTTCTATTACCTGCCGTGATTTGTACTTTAAAAATAGGTCCCTGTCGCAATTCATCAGAATTCATGTTGAAAATAGAAAAGGGAAAATTACTTTTAAACATTTTGGCATATAAAAGCATGATTTACTTTGGACTATTTCTCCAACAGCACATTAATGCACTAAGGCCAAGTTTTCAAGAATATTTTTCCCTACTGGATCTGGTAATTATTAGGAAACTGAACAGCAAACATTGAGCTCCAGGTTGTCACTTCTGTGTGCCCCTTCCATTGGAGGTGGGAGGCGAGCTCTCCTCCCCTCTCCTCTCCCTCACTGGCTGGCCCAGGCCCATGGTGTTAGACTCGCAGTGTGTGCTCTTGTTAGAGTTGTTAAAAGTGACAGGCCACATCTTACCTGACTTACTAATTTTTCTCAGTTTCCTCATCTTGTTTGCACCATTTTTCCTTCATTTCATGAAATGAGAATTTTGTTGGTAGGAACTCTATAAATGATTCATTATTTTAAGATTGGATTTATTAGTGATATAACATATTCTGTGCCTTCAAAATTCATTTGATTCCTTGATGACTTGTTTTGTCTTATTGAGATTACGGAAATGAAAATGTAAAACCGACTGACACTATATAAAATATTTATCTAATGATATCTTGCCATATGATTTGCTCTTATGACTGAAAGTAACTCCGATGCATTTCTTATGTCATTGCTTTAAATATTATTTTATTTATATCATGGGAAAAAGGAGTTTTTAATTTCATAGCAGAGTGATGCAGAGAAATGACAGGCTTTTTTTTTTTTAAGGATATTTTGACTTTAGGTCTGTGCATTTTTGGCTAGAACTAGAATCTAGTTTAACTTCAGCTCAGGAATGGTGTTTTGATTACAATGAGCAGGATTTGTGGAATTCAGTTGATTTATTGGCAATATCTCCCATCTCTGTAATTCCTACTTTAAACAGTTACGTTGTCATATACTTTTAGCTCCTTGCTTATGAAAGGTAATGCATTGGTAGTTATCAGAACCAGTACCTGCACCATCGTCTGCATTCTAAAAGCCGGGGGCTTTTGTGTTAACATACCCTTCCTTGTCCTAATGCCATCTGGTCTTGCAAAACAGTGAGGTAAAAGTTAAAACTGGTTATTAGATGATGTCACTGAAACTTAAATTGAGAAAGTCTTTTTACTTGATAAAAGAAGAAATTCTAACCCAAAAACCTTTGACAGTCCACATTTAGAATTAGGAATCAGTTGGGGTGGGGGAGATGGATTTTTGGAAAAAAAGTCATATACTAGCTTGACCTCAGTTTTTACACCCAGCAAATTCTCAGAATGTTCTGTTTTCTGGAATTCTGTGTGCTAAGTGATGTTAACATGTTGAGACCTCCCTGAACGATGTTTATTAAATAATTCTATTTTTGATATCTTCTTGAGGGTTTTAAATAGTTTGGAGGTAAATAAAATAAAGCCAAAAGATTAAATATCTAGAAATAGAATTTAAATAGCATTTGGGGTTAAATCTCTCCTTTCTTCTTAGAACTTGATGAATGATTTGGGCTTTGCTTTTCCTTTGTGTTTGTGTGTTGGTGTGTTTATGTGTGTAAAAAGTGAGAAAAGGGATGAGATCCTGGTGGAAATAAATGGGGGATGGGCACTAAACTCCTTCATTCTGCTGAGTCAGCGCTGCCTAATGTAAGGAGTAGGCAGCCCTTAAATGATGTGACCCTCCAGGGCTGGAGTGAGGACTTGCATTCATTCATACATTCATTCATTCCGTGAATATTTATTGAGCTCCTTCTCTGTGCTAGCTGTGTTCTTGGTGTGGGGGCAAACAATAAATAAAACTATATTCCTGCCCTCATGGAGCTTATAATAAAACTAATACATAAGATAAGTAATAAATATACATTATGTCAGTTGCTGATAAGTGCTCTGAAGAAAAGTAAAGCAGAGTTGGGATAAGGAGGGTGTGGATTTGGGGATTTACTATTTTCATGTAATACCTGTTGTTATCTAAATTCCACACGTGGAGGTTCATCTGGCTTACATTTCTATTTCACCCATCTTTTGAAATGTGTTGGAAAGGGAAACGATTAAACGTGTTAGTCATTTGTTTCTTAGTGTGAATTTGTTTTAGATTATTTCCTTTCAGCAAATGTTAATGGGGAATTTGAGGCAATGGATGTCTGGGGGTGGGGAGGATTGGAAAGGATCCAGATGGTCCAGGTTGTCTCCTGCTTCTGAGTGGAGTCTCCTCTGTTACCCTGGGAGCCCTACCACTGGCGCTCCTGGTAGTACTTTACTGCTCCATGGTGTCGCTTCTCCAACCTTTCTAGAACATTACTGCTCTATGGCATAGCTCATTTTCTCCTGGGAGTGCTAATTGGAGAAGAGGGAGCCCTACCACTGGCGCTCCTGGTAGTACTTTACTGCTCCATGGTGTCGCTTCTCCAACCCTTCTAGAACATTACTGCTCTATGGCATAGCTCATTTTCTCCTGGGAGTGCTAATTGGAGAAGCAAACTCTGCAGTGCTTTCCTCTCAGCTCTTCAGGAGAAATGCATTGTAAAGTTAAGGTGGTATTTTTTGTTCCATTAATCTTCTTGTTTGGGTTATCATTTTGCTTGACATTTTCAAAGTGTTACTGTCATGTTATTATTATTATTTTAAATGCAGAGCCTAAGTGCATCTCTAGGGATATCTTTGTCTGTTTATAGGTGCTGACTCAAAACATGAAATCCTTCTAAATGGGGAGTGATTCTAATTCCCCTTGCTGTCCTGGCCCCATTGCTTTAGTGGCATCTGTTAATTCTCCCCCACCTGCCAGTAGCAGTATCTGCACCACATTTCTCACCCCGCAACCCCGAAGAAAAAGCATGCTCCAAATTTAGCTCAGTTGCCTGCCAGGCTCTGGCAATGATTGTGAGGGTGGGAATTTGTACTTTTTCCTCTGAATTCTCAGGAATTACCCTTTGCTTAAGAAAGTGCCAGAATCAAGGTTTCCAAGAAGTTGTACTCTGTATACATCGATTTTGTGGTTTATATCTATAAACACAATGGTATACAGAGATTTTAATTTCTTTGATGTAGTATTTCTTTTGCTTGGTAGTCTGAGCATGTGGGCTTCCCCTCGATGAATAAATTTAGGTATGAGATGAGGAAAGCCAGCAATGCTAGTTTGCAGCAGTGCAGCTGCTTCAAAATGAGCAAATTGTGTCTTGTTAAAGTGTCTTTTTTTCCTTACTATAAGCAAAACTGTTGAATGTGAGAACAAATCTTAATTGCTTTTTTAATGTAAAAATGTTCCTTTTTTCCGCAGCTTTTGCTTTGGTTGCTGAAGATAGAAAGAAAGAGGTCAAGCAGTATCAGGTACTCATTCTAATGATCAAATCTTCTCCTCCTCATTGAGATTCTTTTGTATTTTCTTTAATGGGATGTGTAATGATTTCATCCTTCAGTAGTTATCATGTTTCTTTTTTGTTTGTTTTGTGAATGAATATAATGTTGGTCAACATAGATTTTGAAGCCCTAACAGCAACCTATAGATAGACTTGCTTAAAAAAATTTTTTTAACAGTTAAAGCAGATCTACTATGTTTTAAAGCCATTTTAAGATAAAAGGTGCTTTGACATAGAGTTAGAAGTCTTGCTTGGATACCATAGTTTTCTCCAGTCATATCATAAGTTGGATTTGATTTTCCCAGTCTGTGAAAAGATTTTGCTGTGTCACAGGGGTGGCAAAAGCCTGATTACTGTTACCTTGAAGTCAGCACCGTGAGAGAGGGCATGCTGGGGACTATTTTTTTTAACAGTTAAAGCAGATCTACTATGTTTTAAAGCCATTTTAAGATAAAAGGTGCTTTGACATAGAGTTAGAAGGTCTTGCTTGGATACCATAGTTTTCTCCAGTCATATCATAAGTTGGATTTGATTTTCCCAGTCTGTGAAAAGATTTTGCTGTGTCACAGGGGTCGCAAAAGCCTGATTACTGTTACCTTGAAGTCAGCACCGTGAGAGAGGGCATGCTGGGGACTAGGCAGGAGACCCCAGAGGTGACTGTGTTGCCAGATTCCTTGTACAGTCAGAACCAGAAACCTAGACCTGGGGATCAGTGGAGAGGGACAGCACTTATCTCAGAGCTGCTCCTTTTACAGGGATCGAACCTGGACCTTGGTGTTATCAGTACCATGAGAGCTTCTTCTTTTGGATCATTGGTGGCCTTTAAAGAACCTCATGTAAATTTTTACCATTTGGGCTTTGCACTAGATCATTAAGCATGTGAGAAAGAGAAAAAATGTTTTTAAATATAAATTACTTTTGTCATATTAACTAAGGCTCAGTTGACTCGATTTTTAACCCCATAATTGGTGTAAAAGCATTTTTTGGTAAAATATTTCTTTTATCAACAGAGTAATATCTGTTCTAACTATGCTATGGGATTCCTACACAGGGGAATGACAATAATAATTTCTTATAACTTTAAGATCCTTTAAGTTTATTAAAGTATTTTTATACATTTCGTTTAATTTGATCTTCTCAGTGATGTTGTTATTGTTGAGCAAAGGATATTTTCCTGTTTACAACAGAGAAAATTTAGCCTCTGAGAAGTTAGTGATTTGACCAAGGTCATGTGAAGGTGGAGTTAGAATTCAAATTTTCTGAATTCTTGAATTTTTTACACTGTACTGTCTTATGTTACACAGCCTGTGCATTAATAGTGTGTGTGTATTTGACAGTAATGAGGATCATTTATGATGAGTTTAAAGCACTACCTAAGGGTTATTAGCAGGGATTTTTTAAAATTTTGTTTAATGAATTTAGAAATTATAGCAAATACTTCCTAGTATAGGATTTAACCAATTTTTTCAAATGAGGAACTGTATCTATCCTTTGCTTTAAGTACATATATAAACATAAATGGATATAGATAAGGTGAGTCCTATATCTTAGTGTCATTTTTCATGCAGAGGTATTAAAGCACTTGAAAAATGTCATTAACTCCATCTATTTGTAAGGCCACACAGCCAGAAAAGCTGTTCATCCCATGAGGAGAGGCAGTGATAAAATGTCTAGCGTGCACTGTACCCGAGACTTGGGGAGGTGGAGAAGAGCCGGTGTGTCCAAGTCTGTCCCAAGTCTGAGGGTGCACTGGAGATAGGATTTAAGGCTGTGCACAATAATCACATGAATTTTCATTATCATTAGTTCGTCACCAGCAGCAGAACTAACCAGAATCTGCCCCACCATTGTGGCCCCAAAGCAGCTGCCTCCCTCCCACCTCACCTCATTGCTTGCCTATGTCGAGGGCCCCGGGCAGGTCTGTCATGTGAATGCAGGCCAGCCCTACTCAGGGCTGGGTTCCTGACCCAAATGATGTGCAGACTCCCTGGTGGACATTGGATTGACCTCCTGTCATAATCCTGAGTGCTGCTGGTACCCTGCTGTGCTGCCTGCGGCCTGACCTCGGAGTCCGGCTCCTCTCCAGGGTTCCTGGTGCTGGCACTGTCCTGGATTCTGACCAACGACAGCTTTCAGAGGAGCCTGCCCACCCAGGATTGTGCTTCAGGCCGTAGGTGCTGCCTCAGCCATGGCCGTCTAGCTGTCTTCAGCCTGCAGTGTTGCCTGACCTTACTTCCTACGGTGGCTCATGATTGTGTCCTGTGTGACATAAGGTTAGTGCTGGACACTGGCGTTCATGTCTTGTCCACCACTGACCGGCTGTGGGACGTAGTGAGCCTCATTGTGCCTCAGCTTCCTCATCTGTAAGATGGGGTAATAGGACGTACCTCATAGTGCTGTTTTGAATATTGTGTGTGTTTACAACTTAGAACAGTGCCAGGTCTTATTTAAATGTTTACCTGATAAGACAACAAGAAATGTCTTACACAACCTCTCAAGAGATTTGTGTAAACCATCTGTTCTGTCTAAACAGATCAAAGTAGAAAGAGGAACCATAGACCTTACTGCTTTTGTCAGTTAAATTTCTTCTACAGTGGTAGTTGGCTTCATATGAAGTAGTTGATTACAAGAAAAAAGTGGGAACTGGTAACTATTCAGCACTTGCATTTTGTAGACACTGCTTAGTGTTTTATTATCTCATTCAACTTACAACACAACCCCGTGGAGTGGGCCTTGTGATTATTGTCCCTGTGTTAGAAATGGGAAACCGAGGCCTGAGCTAACAAGTGGTAGAGGCAGTATTAGAACACAGGACCAAGGTACAAGTGAGGGCACTGATGAACACATCTTGATTCATTTATTTCATTTAAAATCTAGAGGGAGGTGGTAGATAGTTGTGGTGGGGGAAGATGCCATTTTGCTTTTCTTTCCTCTTAAAAGATTTTCTATCAAATTCTTTTGAGGATGTGTCTGCTTTTACTGAAGAACGTGTAAACTAAGTATTATATATATGGATTACAAGTGTTCAAATCTAAGGGTGACTTGGAATATCTTTTCCCAGCTAGGGTAGGAGCTGTCTGTGGGGTAGATGCATTAATAACAAATCTCTTTCCTCTCTGGATGGCAACTCAGTTGACTTAACAAAACTTTGAGCACATTTTGATTGACATTGACAGTTAGTGTAAGAAACATGGCAGTAGAAATAATAAAACAAACTATGTGTTTCTTCTTTGGAAGAACTAAGCCTTTTCACAAGGGAAGCTGGAGACAGAATTTTAAATGTTCTGTTTACTTGTTCATTTAGTCTAAATTTCTTTCTCAAAGGAGAAATTTCCCAAGATGATTTTGGTTCTGTTTCAATTCACCTAATTCAGCTGTTCCTTGGATATTTTATTTTTACAGTTTACAAATTGAGCCACTTGAAATGGCTAATCATTTCCTAGCTATTGTCAGCTAGTCTCAGCTGCAGTGCTTAATAACAATTAGAAAGATGTATAATTTTGGTTGCTTTTCTCCGATATCACAAAGATATCTGGTAGAAAGTCAAGTTGGTGTTCTAGCTTGTTTAAGTTACTCCATCTAGAATCACTGAGTTCTGCATACTTTTCATCTTTCAACTTGTTGATAAAGGTGATTTTTATTGTAGATAAGACTTTTAGCTTACTCTCAAAATATGTTTGCATCTAGTCTGGCTGGTTAGCTCGGTTGTTTAGAGCACAGCCTTTTAACACCAAGTCAAGGGTTCGGATCCAGCCACCAATAAAATAAAATAAGATACTGGCCAGCCACCAAAAGAATAAAATAAGATAAAAATATGTTCACATTTAATGATGTATATTTTCAGAAGAACTTCTCCAGGGGAGTCTGGACATGCATTATCATGGTGGTGGAAGGAAGGGGCATTGGAAAGGATTCAGAAGACCTGGTTCTGTGGCCAGATGACTGTGGAGTCTTGGAAAAATCTTTTATCTTTTCTGAGCCTCTGTTGTCTGATTTGTAAAAGAGAAGTATTGGATTTAATCATCTCCAGTGCTGTTTTGGGACCTGAAAATTCTATTTTTCTATGAGCCTCGTCTGGCAGCCAAAGCTGTGGCTTCTCAAGAAGGAGGCAGCTTGGCCAAGGGACAAGCATCAGGATAGCAGTGGGGACCGAGTGGCCTCTGGAGCTGAGGCCAGCACTCCTTTCCAGAGCAGGTTGTTCTCCTAGTCAAGAGTGGTCAAGAAGGAGGCAGCTTGGCCAAGGGACAAGCATCAGGATAGCAGTGGGGACCGAGAGGCCTCTGGAGCTGAGGCCAGCACTCCTTTCCAGAGCAGGTTGTTCTCCTAGTCAAGAGTGGCATTTAAGGAGCTCACGCATGGTAACTTACGATGATAACCTGGCTTCGGTTCAGCACATTCAGAGAAGTGGGTTGAACTTTCCATCATTTTTAGTGGATTCTTCCAAAAGCTATGTGTTTTATCAGGATTAAGAGAGGTGTCACTTGATCCTGAGATCTAACAAATCAGCATATAAGTACGGGATTCTTCTCAACTCAGTGGCATTTCTATTCTTGAGACAAAGATAATTTCAGAAGACGCCACCCCAGGTAGTTACTCCCTGTTGTTAGGTCGCTCCTACCTGTCTATTGTCACGGTCCTTTTGGCATTCTTAGAGGATACATCTCTTTTGTGGCTGTTATTTTTTAAGCCGCTCTCAATTTTGCTGGTAAAAAGCTCACAACTGCATTTCTTGTTGCAGTCTTTGAAGAAAACTGAAGAATTTTTGCCACCATCCAATTGTCATAATTATAGCATATGGCTTTTGAAAGCAGAAAAGGGCAATTAGGGAGAAAATTCTTTCCTAATCTGCAGAGAAGACAATGAAATGGCAGATTTAGCTGCTGATGCTTTGCGCTTTGCCAAAGAAATCTTTTGAGAGTTCCTCCCTTAATTTACACAGGGTCAGGATCTGGTATTTCTGTGCGCATGTCCAGATTTTTGTGTCTGGAGCTCTCCCTCTCTAAGGCACCTCTTCTATGCACATGAATTACAGGGACCACCATAGGCCAACATCATCCCAGGCCCTTGCAGACCCCCAGGACCGCTTCTCAGATAGGAGACAACATTGTGGTAATGTTCTTGATGACAGTATATCTGAGTCCAAAAGATGGTAAAGTACAGTAATTAGTAGAGCTCATCTTCTTTTTTTTTTTTTTCCTTTTTTTGTCTTTTTTACTGACGGGTAATGGGATCGCAACCCTTGGTCTTGTGCCCGTACCACGCTCAGCCAGTGAGCTGGAACCGGTCTCCACATGGGATCCGAACCCTCGGCGGGAGTGCCGCCGCGCTCCCAAGCGGCGCACTCTCCAGTGCGCCACCGGGCCGACCCAGAGCTCATCTTCTTGAAGAAAACCTGCCAGACTTGGGACTATTTCTGATATGTTTCTAGTGCTTTATAGTTCATGAGGTTTTTAAAATTAACCCTCCCAAGAACGTTGTGAACCAGTTAGGTGTTAACTTCATTTTACACAGGAGGAAAGAGCTTCAGCTCACTTAAGTGACTTGCCCAAGGTCATGTAAGAAAGGGACAGTCTCATCTAGAGGCTTCTTTTATGACACAGAAGTATATTGTGGCTGCTTTATTCTCCTTTCGTTTTGGTCTCATTTCTGTAGGGAAGCATTTACAGGTTCCCATATTTAAGCCTTCCCCCCAGTGTTAATATGTACTGTGCATATTTATTCAGTGTATTACTGGCTTTGTTATGTGATGAGATTTTTCTTTTCTTTTCTTCATTTTCATTTAAAATACAGGATTTGGGGAAAAGTGGTGTATCCAGGAAAAATGACATAGGTAAGTAATGACTTTTCTTTAGCCTAAAAGTATGCACTCAGGTGTATTTCTCGTAAATTATATTTTAATAAAGTGATTTTTTTTCCTGATTTTGTTTATGGGGTAAATATTGTTGTTCAAATATTCTGTCTTTGGCCCAGCCCAGTCTTTACGCTCATGAAGACACGGGGAGAACACTTTTCAGATCGGCATATGGCGTGTGATACATATTGGCAGCAACAGTTAATGTGTTGTGTTTAATTCCCTCAGCCGTCATTCCCTGAGCTTCCAGTAAGGGTAGAGCACCGTGCCAGGTGGGCGCTGTCGGGGGAATGCAGAAATGAATAAGACATGGGCCCTGTTATTAGAGGTCCACACGCAGTGGGAGAGAAGGACAAGCTGTGGCCTTTGCTCATGTGTCCTCTGCCTGGAGCCGGTCTCCCCACTGGGTGATCTGCAGGCACCTACTTGTCCTTCGGGAGTCAGTTCACCCATCACATCTGTCACACTTGTCCTGGGAACCCTGGTGTGGAGCTGCTCCTGCCTCCTTTGTAACACGTCGCATCCCACCTACACCCTTATCTCTACTCCTTTTTAAACACATCTTCCTTCCCCAGTATATTGTAAACATCTACAGGGATATGACCATGAGTTAGTCTTTTTAAAAAATTTCCTGGGAAGCAGTGTGTTGATGGGAAGCAGGTCGCACGTCTGTGGGTAGTGGTGGGTCTCTCCCCGAAGGGTGTGAACTTTGTCAATGTCCTTCATCCCAAGGTAGGCCATGGAGACCTGGTGAGCTTTGGATAAGGGGGAAGGAATGCTTTCCGTTCTAGGCCTTCATTGCCTGGGCCTGGATTCCAAGGAGTGTGCAAGTGCAGGAGAGGCTCCTGGGTGGAAGGGGAGGAGCCCTGTGCCTGGGAGTCATGTCTGGGGCCACAAGGGCGTGGGTGAGTCTGTAGTTCTGAGCGCGGTTGTATTTGAGGGGCCACAGTAGTTCGTTGCTTTTTCTTCTCTCTATCACAACACCCTGTGTGGTTCAGCCAGTCCCTCCCTGTGAAGATTTTTCTCTCTGCTGCCAACCCTGGTGGTTTTGGGCATTCATACGTGTATTTATTTTATGGGAGCTGATGGGTCCCCACTAGTAAATGGTTATTAAATTACTTAACGACCCAAGTCTGGAATGTGAGCTCGAAACTACCAAGGGGAAGTTATCTTGGACAAGTAAATTTACATTCTTGCAATTGCAAATGACAAGTCAAGTGATAACTAACTTGCTGGCAGTTCACTGGAAAAAAACCCAGGGGGCTTCTCTGTCGTAATCTGCATATGAGCCTTCAGGACCAGGAGGCTACAAAGAGCCTGTGCATAGCAATGCCTGTAGAGTCGGGTGCCCAGACCATGGGCTCCCAACACCCAGGCAGGCCACAGCCTCCAAGCCCAGAGAATCTTTTGTTCTCTTTCGGCTCCCTGCCTAATCAATAGATTCATTGGTGTATGGTTATTCTCACCAAGTAAAACGTAACTGGACTGGCTCTTCCTGTGTCTGTATGTATTTATCCCTGAGCTTTAAATCATAAGCCTGCGTGTTATTCACCTTTTATCAGAAGAACACCATTATTGATTTCTCATCAGAAAAACACCAGCATGATGAAATCCATTGTTCTAAGTAATTTCTGACCAGGAGGATTAGCACTTAGTAGAGTGCTTGGCCCATGATAGGTGCTCAGCAACCAAAGAAATAGAGAGCCTTTGGTTTATTTTACCTTCAAAGAAAAGTTATTTCTCTTCCAGGCATCCTTTTCTAATGATCTCCTTGGTTCTCCTGCCTTTCCTGAATGCTCCCTGCAGCTCACCATTGGCATCAGCACCACATCAGTCTTTTCTGTATCGTTGACTAGTTTCTCTATCTTCCCCTTACAGCCTGTCACGCTGATCATTATTGTCAGGCACTTACTGTGCGACCCATTCGTGGCACGTTCCTGGTGGGGAAACAGACCATCCATCTTGAGTTGTGACAGTGTTTGCTGAAGGCAGATCGCAGTGGGTTTAGAGGAGTGCAGAGCCAAGATGATAAGAAAGAGTGGAATCATCTTATGCAGCTGTTGACTGGGTGGTGGGAGCTTAAGAGTCAGGTGGTTGGGCAGCATAAACAGAGGAGACACCAGATAAGCTCAGGATCAAGGCTCAGCCAGAATGTGATTCAACTGTGGGAAGGCTTAGGTTGTGTGTCAGAAAATATTTCTTGGTGCTGATATAAATAACAGCAGGAATTTGTGCAGGGACACTGTTTTCAGCACGAAACTGTACTCACTAACCTGGTTCTTTTCTTGAATGGGTTGGGACCGAATAGCATGTGCAAATGATCTTCTGCCATTTATTATTATCAGGGTTATAGGAGCTGGGTACCTTTAGCCTTGTTCCCAATAACTACCCTCACACATCCTGTTCCTTAGCCATCCCTAACTGTTAATATTTTCAGGGCCCTAAATTCGACTCTCTGTCCCAAACCTTCACTGCTTGCTCTGTGGGGAAGATCTTTCCACCCATTTTTGCCTGTCTCAGGACACAGTGCGTTCATTTTCTCCTCTGGAAAGACCCCGCTGGGCTCTTGAGGTCCTTCCCAGTCTGAAAGTGGAAGCAATTAATCTGCAGTCTGAGCCTCTTAGCGTAGCATGTAAATCCTTCAGGATCTGATCTGTCTGACCCCACCTCCCTCTCCAACATTGTCACCCACACTACCTCCCATTCCAGAAATGCCCGGCAGACTCCCTGGTCAGGGATGCTGCAGAGATAAGACAGGCTGTGGCCTCTGTGATAACTCTGCCGTGGTCTCCTACCTGCTGTGTGTGAGTTTGCAGAAAGCTGCTGCTTTTTAATGGAAGCTCAGGCCATACCTCTTCCCAGAAGCTCTCCTTGTGCTTGTCCCCTTCCGAGTGCTCTCTGCAGCTCCTGTGTGCTCGCATGTACCCCTTGCCTCGCTCTGGCTTTATTGTGTCACTTCGTGTTATCATGGCCTGTCTTCTTTTTTTAAAAAAATATTATTTTTTATAAGCATATTATTATTACAAATCATGATTTTTTTTTATGCCCTTGACCCAACCTATCCCTCCCCAACCTCCCCTCCCCCTGCCTCACCCCCATCTCTAGTATTCTGAAAGTTCAAGGAATTGTTTAGGTCTTTTCTTTCTTTTTCTTTCTTAGCACCCAGTTATAAGTGAGAACATGTGGTGTTTCTCTTTCCTTCTCTCGCTTATTTCACTTAACATAATTTTCCCCAGACTCATCCATGTTGCTGCAAATGGCAGTATTTCATTCTTTTTTATGGCAGAGTAGTATCCCATTGTGTGTATATACCACATTTTCCTTATTCAGTTGTCCATCAATGGACACTCAGGTTGGTTCCATACTTGGCTATTGTAAATAGAGCTGCAGTGAACATGGGAGTGCAGGTGTCCCTTTGACATGATGATTTCCATTCCTTTGGATATATGCCAAGTAGTGGGATTGCTGGATCATATGGCAGTTCTATCTGTAGTTGTCTGAGGAACCTCCATACTGTTTTCCATAGTGGTTGTACTAATTTACCGTACCACCAAGTGTGGAAGAGTTTCCCCTTTCCCCACATCCTCACCAGCATTTGTTGTTCTTGTCCTTTTTAATAATGGCCATTCTAACTGGGGTGGGTGATATCTCAGTGTGGTTTTGGTCTGCATTTCTTTGACGACTAGTGATGTCGAGTGTTTTTTCACATACCAGTAGGCCATTTGTATGTCTTCCTTTGATAAGTTTCTATTTGTCTCCCTTGCATGGCCTGTCTTCTGAGTGAGGCTCAGACACTGCAGTGCTGTGACTGTGCTCACTCACCTCTGCAGCTCAGAGCCCTGCACTTAGTAGGGACTCAGAAGACGTTTGCTGAGTGAATGCATGTAGCACATGTGATTGAAGTATGTGAAAAGGGAAGGGACAAGCATGATTTCTCAGTAACTATATTGAAAAGACCAGGACAAATACAGCTCACAGGACATGACCCAGATATAGGAAAAGGTGAAGGATTTGCTTTTCTTCTTGCAAAGCCTCTTCCCGGTGTGGAAGAACGGTTATCTTCAGGAGATGAACAGCGGGAGCTTTGCTGAGCTGGTACATGTGGTGGCGGGAGTTGTTTACTGTAGTGAGTGCAGGATTAACCTTTTGACAGATGGAGCTGCTGTTTTAAAATTTTTATTATGAAGTAATTTGCACATATAAAAATTTACAAAGAGTCATAAAATGAGCATCTGTGTATCCACCACCTAGATTAAGAAATGAAACATTACTAACACAGTTGAAGCCTTTTAACCATTATCCTGATTTGGTATTTATCATTCTCATGTAATCTTTTATACTTTCACACGATACGTATGTATATGTATAGTATACACCCATGTTATATATATATATATATCTTTGTTCAAATTGTTGATTTATATAGTTATTCTTTTGCAACCTGCTTTTTTTTTTAGCATTATATCTGTGGGATACATCTGCAATATTCATCTGGATTGACACATGCAGTGCTAGCTGATTTTTATTGTTGAATAATATCCCTATAGGTATATATATGTATGTATGTATCTTGTTAGTGGATATTTGGGTTGCTTCCATTTTCTTTCATTTACACCAGGCCACTGTGAACACTCTTGTTATATATCCTTGTATACGTATATGAGAATTCCTCAAGGGTGATTAATAGGAGTTGAATTTCTGCGTCTTTGGGAATGTGCATCTTTAATTTTATCAAATTTTGCAAAAATTATTCCTTGGTGTTTATGTATTCCATTCTTAACAAAAAGAAATCTTTGTAAGTCCTCTTTTGATATGTCAGTTTATATTAATGTTTCAGGTGTAGTGGATTGAAGATAACATTTCAGTTGAAACATTACGACTCCCATTTAAGCCTTATCTCTGTGTGTGATGTATAGAGCCAAGAAGCTGATTTAAAATAGAGACGGGTACATGGAATGTTCATATTTATATAAACTCCTAAAGAAAAGGAATTAGGTCATATTCAGTAGGTTATTCAGCATTTCTTTTTAATTTTTCTATTGAGTTTTAATCATAGAGCATTTTGAGTGACTGAATAATTGAATAGAACTATAGAACTGAACCTAAGAACAATAACATATAATGAAATAAAATTAAAACCAAATTAGTGTCTCTGAGCTGAGATGTTAGAGAGAAAGGCTCATGGTGGGGGAGAGGTCCCCATGTGGATTTGCCACAAACCTGGCTGGATGCTACAATTTATGTGACGTCCACCTTCTGCCAACACCTCTGTCTGGTGGCAGGGTGCTGACATAATGGCTGTTTCTACCTATTTCTTTATTACAAGTTCAGAACCTGAGCAGGTCTAATGTGCTTCTCCAGTATGTGACCTGAGCAACTATCTCCATTGGCAAGACCTCTGGTGATCTTCCCCAGCTGGGGTCATGACATGCTAGGGTTTCCTCTCTGCTTGCAATTGTAAAAAGCTGGCCATCTTGCAGCGAGGCTCTAGTGAGCTGGCACATACTGACAGTGCGTTGTTGTAGATGGGCTTTTATGCAATACTTCTTGCTAAAGCCCTGCTGCTGTGGAATTGTTGCGTTGGTTTCCTGGAAATAACACTTAATCTTGGCTAGGTGCCTTGTGAGGTAGGGCAGGGATTATTGAACTATTTACTTGCAAACACTTGTGAACTTATGAGACATATGCAGTCACTGTTGAGTGTCACTGTAAAGGGCCATCCAGAACATTCTTGAAGTAGTATATAGTTTGCTAGGGATGCATAACAAAGTACCACAAACTGTCTTAAAGAACAGAGATTTATTGTCTCAGTTCTGAAGGCTAGGTGAAGGCTAGATCTCAGGTCTAAGCTCAAGGTGTTGGCAGGGTTGGTTTCTTCTGACAGTGGTGAGGGGGAATCTGTTCCAGGCCTCTCCCCTTGGTTTATAGATGACCGTCTTCTCCATGTGTTCTCACATCATCTTCCCTCCGTGAGTCTGTCTCTGTGTCCAGATTTCCCCCTTTTATAAGGGCCCATCCTAATGACCACACTTTTACTTGATTACCTCTGTAAAGACCCAGTTCCATGTCAGGCCACATTCTGAGGTACTGAGGGTTAGGGCTTCAACATGTGAATTTTGGTGGACACAATCCAACCCCATAACAGGTAGCAGCACAGTGTAGGTTGATGTGAGAGCTGTTAAAAGTCTTGTAAACATTGGACTTTCAGCTAATAGGGAGGTTAGTATTCTAGACTTTTCCCCACTTTTGCACATTTACTGTCATTCTCACTGACAGATGCAGGAACACATTCACAGTTGGTTACCACAGTTGGTCTAGTACAGTGAGCTTATTTACTTGCTAACTTCTAGGAAGGAAGGTTCTGAAATCAGTTTAAAAAGAGAAGATTTTGTCTGTAGAATTACATATAATTGATTTTTTCCCCCTAAAAACGTATTGCCTGAAGGCTTGCCTTGTAGCTGTTGTTTTTTCACTTGTTTTTAAGTTTATTTCCATCCTTATTAAAAAATAAATACCTGAAAACTTTTTTGTTTTTGGTTCTAGACTTAAAAAGAATTGTATTTGTCATCCAGAGTCAAAGTAATTCTTTTCATGCAAAGAGAGCAGAGCAATTAAAAAACATCATCTTAAAGCAGGCTGCAGATCTTACACAGGTATGTAGAGATGGCTTGGGATTTCTGCTTATCATGTATTTCACGATACATTTATGTTTTCCAAAATGCTTGGTCTGTCAAGAATCAATTTTATTTACATGAGGATAACTCTTCTGACTCATTTTGCTTATTTAATATTGACTATTTATTGTTGAAAGTGCCTTGGTTAATTTCTAATGCTCAAAGTATCGTATTCTAAATTATTGAATATGTGTTTTTTTAACTTAAGAGAATTATATTAGGACTATTGTGGCTTTGCCATGAAGTATGAGAAGAGAAGTATAAGAAATAGCTTTTTAAAGGTAGGGCTTAAAATAGCCGAGATAATTAATGATCAAAATTTTGGTAACAAGTTCTAAGGCAATTTTCATGTTGAAATAACATTTTCATTAATCCTAGTGCAGTGCTTCCTCTATGAGTCTTTTAATCTGTTTTTTAATTGCATGTCATTAGTTGAACTTTTGACTTGATTTATAATGTAGTATACCAGAAGGATTATGGAGAGAAAAATCTATGCATTCAGGTACATTTTAATAACATCTAAACCAAACATGAACTGAATCTAAAGCTGCTCTGGGTAGTGCTGGTGGTTTGGGACAAAGGAAGATGTACCTTCTTGTAGTGTCTTATAGGTTCCTCCTTCATGAGCCGAGTAAAAAAAAACAACTTCTCCAAGACCGCTGCACTACATCGCCATGGCCTTCAAGACAGAAGTGCTTGTCTGTAGATAAATGCCATCTCTTCGTCCTCTCAGGAATAAACTCTGACAAGAGATGTGCGTGTTTGCCAGATTGCTTTCTTTCTGTTGGTGGGTGCTGGAAAATAAAGGGTCAGAAATATCAGTGGAAACACAAGCAGCCCTAATGGTATTCAAGGCTAAGATACTGCTGAGAATGAGGTCTATTGTGCTTAATCTTTAAATGTTTCCCATATAATCTTCATCAACCTCCCCTCATCCCTGCAAGGACAGGTTCACTCTATTGCCTTACTTGGAACATCATATTTTCTCAAGGGCGATGAAAGAATTACACACTGTAGACAGATTGCTTTTTGGTAATTAGAGATAGGAGCAGCTTGACGAGTTCAAAATTCTTTTTTGTCTGGAGACCTAACTTTTAGAGATTTTCTTCTAGTAAACCTTTCCGCGTTTCATCAGAGAGGTGGACATGCAGTCTCCTTGACTGGCTGGCTCCTTCCGTCTGCTCTGGTAGGGGTGCTATGGGGTGGCCAGATGCAGGCAGGAGGGGGAGCCAGTCACCTAAACCGTCCCTCAGCTGGATCCAGCCAGACATGAATGGAGTTTAGCTCCATAAGGCATTGGCAGTTACCCCAAACTGTGTAATCAGATGACACTGGAAGACAGTGAGGCATCACTTATCGTAGATGAATTAAGAGTACACTTTTCACTATGGACCTGCATGTGTCCCCGCTTCCAGAAGTACCTTCCATCTTGCGGAAGATTTAGATTATGTATCTTCCCTGTTTAATCCATACCAGTAGCCCTTCCGTTCGTGTAGGTAATGACATCCTTTGCTGGCCAAGTCCAGTTGACTGAATATATACCACCATATTTCCTCTAATATTCATCCACTCTTTTTTTTGTGTGTGTGCAAATGGGTATTCCTTCTCGGCTCTCTGTCTCCCCTTCCACCTTCACTCTTCATGTAGGTAATGACATCCTTTGCTGGCCAAGTCCAGTTGACTGAATATATACCACCATATTTCCTCTAATATTCATCCACTCTTTTTTGTGTGTGTGTGCAAATGGGTATTCCTTCTCGGCTCTCTGTCTCCCCTTCCACCTTCACTCTTCTGGGAAAAGTAGCTTCTGGGGACCTTGAACAGGACAGTGTTCCCAGGACTTGGTCTGCAGTGGAGATAAGGCCTCTGTGTACCTTTTGGTG